ATGATACTTGAACAAAAATGACCTGCATGGTCGAGCTGCCAGAAAGAAGCCTTTACTGTGCCAATGTCACAAAAAAAAGCCCTGCTACAATATGCTCGACAACAGCTTGATATGCCTAACAGCTTCTGGCACACTGTGATCTGGAGTGATGAGACCAAAATAGAGCTTTATGGTCACAGCCATATACGCTATGTTTTGAAAGGGGTCAATACGACTTATAATGACAAGAATCCCCACTGTGAAGCATGGTGGTGACTCACTGATGGGGGGGGGGGTGGTGAGCTCCAAAGGCACAGGAAATCTTGTGAAAATTGATGGCAAGATGAATGTAGCATGTTATCAGAAAATACTGTCAATCTGCATGAAAGCTGTGCATGGAACACTCTGAGACCAGCACGACAATGGCCCTAAGCACAAGACCAAGTTGACCTTGCAGTGGTTACAGTAGAAAAAGATGAAGGTTCTGGAGTGCCATCAAAGTCTCCTGACCTTAATATCATCAAGCCACTCTGGGGAGATCTCAAATGTGCGGTTCATGCAAGACGACCAAAGACTCTGCATTACCTGGAGGCATTTTGCCAAGACGATTGGGCAGCTATACCATCTGAAAGAATTCAGGGCCTCATAGACAACTATTACAAAAGACTGCCCATTGTCTTTGATGCTATAGAGGGCAATACACCGTATTAAGAACTAAGGGGTCATGTTCTGCCAGCTCATGTTTTCTTTAAAAATGGTAGACACTGTATATTACCAATTTCACCAGGGGTACCCTTGCCAGAGGCATGCTCACATATGCACAGTACCGGGTGGGAACTACATTCATGGGACAGTCTAACATTAAGGCAGTCTTCCAACTCAGAGATGAGCTGACACCACAAGTAATATGAAGCCATATTTCTCTTCTATCAGAGCGGTCTTATTTCTCTACTCCCAGTGAGTACATGTGTTGCATTTGGGGTGGCAGGTAGAGCCACACCACCTCCACTAGCCAGTGTATCTTCTCCCAGTAACGGAATGAAACCCTGCTGAACACTAGCACGGGTCTCATGCGTGTCCAATGTTAACTCCTTGCATTCCGTACCACACCTCAACTGGTTATCGGTGACTCTGCGACATGACCTGGTTGTCATCTGCATTACCTGCAGCTTATTTGTACTGTATACTTCAGACCCCTTGGTGCTTTTACAGGCTCAGGTTCTTTGTATACGCCACCCCCATTATGCACCCCTTTAGCTATAACTTTACATACCTCCCAAATTTCTGAGATGGGCAAGAGGGATACCTGTGTAACAGTAAAAATGGTGAAGCGCTAACAGTAGGTACAAATCACAGCAGATATAAATGAATATATAATCAAATAAATAATAAAGTGACAATACAAAGTGTTGATCCAAGTGGATCAAATATAGTGCTTCTGATGGTGAACAGGTGAAACTTGTACTAAAACAGGTGAATCCTTTCCCAGATTGGGAAAAAAAACAGCAATCGGCCACCCATAGGTGAAAACACGGAGATATGAACCTGTCCCGTACAAAATCATGTTAAATAACTGTAGTGTGTTTAAGCAAAGTGCTGGGGAAAACGCTTAGGTGTGAACCTAGGGTAAAGGATAAGTTTGCATGTTACACGTATGTTCAAGGTATAACATGAACCTATACAACCATCTCCCACCGCCAGCACTTCTTTTCCCTGCACCCGCTGTTACAATTTGAAAACAGAGCTGCTTCGCTGACATGCCCACATTATTCAGTCTCCTATGAATGAATAGACTACAAGTACAGTCAGACATTGTGGCTTTTAGTTCTCAATGAACTGTGAGGATGCTATGGAGCGCTCTCGTAGTTCATTGATTCTTCCTGCCATTCAGTAACTGCCTGAACATACAGGAGGTAGAGGTAGGCAGCTTACCGACAGTCTGCAGGATCCTGGCATTGCACTCCTGATTGCGGATACAATGCTGTACAGGCTGCAATGTAAACAAACAAATGCATGTTTTTTTCACCTGCAAAAACACATGCATTTATTACAAAAGGCAAACTTAACCATTATCAATGTCTAGATTTAAACCCCCCCCCCCCCCCAAAAAAAAAACCCACTAAGAAAACACCTTACTCTGAAGCCTGTCAGGAGGTAGCACCCATTCCCAGGCAGCCATACTGCTCCAGTGGCTTCCTCTGATCCTGATCAAGTACACACATAGTGGAGACCGCAGGTGATGCTGTCATGAGCCATTGCTGGCTCCTTTTGAAAATGCTAGGTGTCTGGGTGTGTCGACAGGTACTTTTAAAATAAAGGACCTGAGCAATACTTTAAATAAAAGTGTCAGAAAAACATCAGATAGATTTCTCTACCTGTTCTGGGTCAGCAGTTTAGTGTGCAGCAAAGCCAAAGAATACTACGTTTGTGATGGACTGACTGGATCAGTCACTGGTCGTAGGTGGGTGGTTGCGTGGGTGGGTAGGGAGAAGTCCCTACAGTTGTACCCAATGGTGGATATTGGTGGTAAACCCTCTTAAGGTTTGGGTTGCTGCCTGTCTGGTACAGCCTTGAGGTCGTTTCCACACGTATACTTGGAATAGTAGAAAAGATGGTGCGCCCAATGTCCAAAAGAATGGACTTTTGCTGGTAGATTAGGAAGCATTTGAGAGTAATGACAAGTACAGAAAGCCAGGAAAGTTTCAGGAGAAAAGACTCTCCCTTCCTCAGAGCTGTTTCTGCATGCTATTAAATGGGAAAAAGTCCCACATCTGTTATATATTTTCCAGGTTTCGGAGAAAAAAAAAAATATATGACAGTAACCGTTCCATTCCAGGGGTAGTAATGGATACTACATGAGCTCCAGGGAACTACTGTTTTTATGGTTCCCTACAACTTTCCTTGTTTGCATGGTTGCTCCAGATCAGGGTTTGAAGTTTGAAGTTAGTGATGCCAAGTAATATTTTCAGAAAGGGCAAGCAACTCCAGCCAACATATTTCTAAAAACAAGTTCCCCCTTGAGTATGTGGACTCTGCTCCCTCTATTGAGTTCAACGATTACAGCAGAGTTTCTGAATTTTGAAACTATTGAGAACCATGCACTAGTTTCTGTTGTTGAACTGTAATGATAGAGTGCCTCCTTGTGGATATATTCCAGAAAATTACATTTTCGTTTGTGCTGACATTTCCTTTCAACAATTTTTCATATAATTGCATCCAATACCTTATACACAAGTGCTAAGACTAGATGCCATATATATTTTTTGGAGTGCATTAACATGTCTTGTGTTAAAGTGGAGCTCTAGGCTCCTGTGAAAAACAAAAAGTCATCAGCTTCAAAAAAAAAAAAAAAAACTGTAGCTGCCATTCATCTGCCTCTCAATTAAGCAGCGTCCTCACCGCAGCTGGGTTCACCAGCAATCCTCTGATCTCAGCACCTTAACCATGGGCAAGCTGTCACAGCCGGGTACTTGCTGCATATTGTGAATGGTCCCGCAGTCTTCTGGGACTTGCCACGTGTTCAAGAAGACTGTGCGGGGTGGGGAGGAGATGAGGAGAGCTTCCGCTTCCAATTGCCTAGGCAGTCAGAGAGGGTGCACGTGCCCCCCCAAAAGGTGTCAATTCTTGCCAGAGATTAGTCCTTAAAAGCAGAACTTCCCTTTTAGGTGGAGCTTCACATTAAGAAGCCCAAGAAAATCAAAAACTTCCAACACACCAAAAAGTCCCAAAAAAGTGGGACATGCCACAAAATTTATATTGCAGCAGACTATAGTGTGCAGCCATGCACTGCCTTAGGATGTTTAGGTGCCATTCAAAATTAGATGCCATAGTTTTCAATTGGCCATAATTCAAACAGTGCTGCAATAACCTGTTCATTTGAATGACACCCCAACGCACCATGTCTGAAGAGTTTAATGTTTTTGCTTCGTCATGTTGCTGCATGATGTGGTGAACAGATTTTGAGGTTGACTTCTTCAATTTCCCTTATCCATGCTAAGCAGCATGGGAAGAGGCAATGTCAGCTCTTCAGCCTGAATGGTGCTTGCATCTAAATTGATGCAAGAGCTTCTCAGCCAAACTCGAGACTAACACCTTCAACGAGAATCAAATGGAGAAGATATCACCAGGGCACCCACAGCTCAACTTCCAGCCTAATTAGCAGGAATAGGCTGACATTTGAGCAGTGTATGATCAACCTGACTAAACAGACCTTAATGAGGTTTTCATGAACAAGCATGGGTAACATTGAACCAATCCATTTCTTCATACCAGGGAGATCTTTACCTCCTTTTGTCCATCCTACCTCATCCACAGCATTTACTCTTAGCAGCCATTCACACCTGAGCATAGTGTAGCTCGAAAATCCCAAGTTAAAAAAAAAATAAAAAAAAAAAAAACCACAAAACACCACACCCATCAATCCAAATCTCATGCTTTTCAAATAGTCCCTGTTCACATTTGAGCTTTCAGGTACAAAGGTTGAAAAGTACATAAGCCACTTTTGAAGTATAAGGAGGAATCTTTGGTCCTATTGACTTTAAATGGGAGAACGTTCAAAATACATGCTACACGTGGTTTTCAGATACTGTAGAGCCCAAAACATGTGATCCTACATCAAAGAAGCTCCTGTACTCAAATGTTAAAGTGTGCAAAAGAAGGGGAAAAAAAAAAAAAAAAAAAAACTACCAGCATTAACATCACCTACATAATCTATGCTCAAGTGTGATTGGAGCTTATATACAGAAGAGATTTTGCTAAAACAGTTCATTTTATTAAGAACATGACTTAAAATCAAATCTGAATAACCACTTTTTTTTTTAGCTTTATTGCATTGATTCAATGGAAGGTTGTAGTTAGAAGAAATTTTTTTTTTACCCATTAAAATGTAATTAAAGAAAGAAAAATCATTAAAAAGAGAATCATTCTGAAAAAAAAGATAAAATCATTAGTAGTTGTCTTTATGAAAATGCACTTGTCAGGTTGTTAACAAGTTGGCAGTACTTGCCATGTTTAGCAAAAAGTTACCCATCTGCAGGCACGTTGCCAAACATTTCCTGGGATGCATAGGTCATATACATAAAGCCATCTTCATCTTGGTTGGCATTGTAAAGTTCTGCCATAGAAAGGGACATAGTAGCAAGGGTCTTCTCATTTACTAGAATGTAGAAGGCTTGTGTAGCTGACAAATTCATTCTATTCCTGTGTAAAGTTAAAAAAAAAAAAAAAAAAAAAAAAAGTTAGAATATTTTAACTAAACGAGTTGTAGAAGTTGTGCATGTTAAAACATTTTCCATCTACAGAAGATTAAAATAAAATGGCCCAAAAGGTCACTTTTACATCAGTGGCCAGGGGGCAATAAAGATAGGTGGATGAACCAGTTACTATTCCCCAGCCTCCCACGAAAAAAAGAAAAAAAAAAATTTCAGGAGGCAGCAGGATTGCCCAGCTGTGGATGCTTAACTGCACTGTGAAAAGCAATCAATTGCAGGTCACTTTTCAAAGCATGGGGCTAGAGTGAACCTAGCCTGGAAAATTTCAAAGTTCTCATAAAACTAATTTTTTTTATTTTAGAGGCCATTCACAACATTAAAGGTGAATTGTGGTGCATTAAGTGCATATACATTAGGTTGCATATTAACATTTGCCAACCACAACAGACCAAAAGTCCTGCATGCACAATTGCTCCAGCACAGCACACCTCAACACATGTGTTAGGAAGGCATATGTGAATGGCATTGCATCATATTGGGAGTGCCACTTAGTATGAATGGCATTGTACCAACCTGCATGACACGTCACTGCAGAGAATTGGATGGGTCCTGAATGTTTGAAAATATATATATTATTTTACACACACAACTAAGTGATCAGTGGTCTTTGAGTGCTCAGTTCTTGGTCTAAGAAGTGGCAGGGGATAGATGCAGCATCATGTTGATGTTTCATCTATCCCCTGCCACTTCTTAGACCAAGAACTGAGCACTCAAAGACCACTGATCACTTAGTTCTCATCCAACAGTGAGCCAGTGTGACTGCCAGTCAACGGCTCTCTGCCCCTCTAGTGCCCACTGGAGCACCAGACTGTGGAGGGAGCAGGAGTGGCAATCTCAGGATCTCAGGGGCTCACCAAGAGGCTTAGCCAGCTGCCAGTCCAGGCATCTGGGTGGATCCTGACTTTAAAGTCTGGATCTCTCCAGAATCTGGACCGACCGAGTGACATCAGGCAACAGTGGGCTTGAGCCTGAGGTGCACTCCTGTAATCCATAGGAAAAGCTGGCAAAAATAGATTTGGCCATACTTCAATATGGATACCATGCCTAATGAAAACAAGTGTTAACTTTGCTCTTTGGGACCCAGTTATTGCTAATGGAAGAATTTGTGTTCCCCTATAACAGAAAAAAAAAAAAAAAAAAACCCCACACACTAACTAGGCTAGCTGGTGATTGGGCCGAGTGCAATCCGAGGGTGGCCAGGAGTGATGGGTAGTCCCAACTCCCATATTCTGGCTACCTGGTGATTGGCCCAGCGCTATCCAATGGTGGCCGGGAGTGATGGGTAGTCCCAACTCCCATATTCTGGCTACCTGGTGATTGGTCCAGCGCTATCCATGGTGGCCGGGAGTGATGGGTAGTCCCAACTCCCATATTCTGGCTACCTAGCGATTGGCCCAGTGCCGTCAGTGGCAAGGTCAGTCTTGTGTAAGCTCCAATTGGTGATCCATATACTGTACATCTAGCCTGGATCCACATGTCAGCATTTTCATGTGATTTCAGAGCATTTTGTCACATTTCCAGGTGTTCAGTTTTTTCTTGGCTAAAGATGCAATCCTACTCCATAGAACTTTCTTGGAGCTCAGATGTGAATGGCACAATAGAACATGGAGTGTTGAGTGTTAAAGCACTTCCAGAAATGCACAAAAATGGGGGCTTACTGAGAGCCATCATTCCTTTATGTAGCATAACAGAGCAGATGGAGAACCATGGAAAGGGGAGTATATGCTGCTAGAGAACTGGTTTTTTTCTTGTACCGTGCATGAGCAAAAACCACATTTGCATTCATCTATCTGGTGTTAGGGCTGAAGCCAAACTTTGTCAAACAGTAACAAATACTTACACTTGTGGAAGCCAAAAGGCCCAAGTTGGACCATTGGGAAATGTAACCCTACAGGTTCATTGATAGCCTTCCAGTATTTACAGCCCAAGTTTAGATGTAAAAAAAAAAAAAAAAAAAAAAAAAAAAAAAAACATTTTTCATTCATGGAAGCTGTAGTACAGCTTCTATGAATAAAGGAGGGGGTGGAAAGGGCAGGTGTAGTTGTCATTCCTAATGAGTACCTATCACTGGTCCCTCTTGGCACACCAGAAAAATATGGCAGCTGGGGTGAGGTGGGAATCGGAGGACATTTTTCAACTAAAGCAAGAGTCAGCAGTACAAGGGACAAATCACACTGATAGTAAGTACTTGCCCTAGTACTGTTTTGTTTTTTTAAACTAAGACTTTAATTCAGTCTTTTGATACTGCTGATATCTGGTTTTAGCAGAATGCACCAGTTATCAGATCACTTGGTTAAGATAGAGTTAATAGGGCTTTTGGCAAGAATTTTAAAGTGCAGGCGAGGGCAGAATATTTGTTTTGGATTGCAGTGGAAGGATTAGACCCTGTCAAATGTGTATAGCTGTGTCTTTCCTTGCTGGGGAGATTCACGTCTTCCTTGGCCATTGTCACACACAAAAAAAAAAAAAAAAAACAAAAAAAAAAAAAAAAAAGGTAGCAAATTAAAAAAAAAAAAAAAAAAAACAAAACAGGTGTCACCAGAACACATGGTGAGGTGAAATGAGAGGAAAAAGTTGTTCTGGTGACAACTTTCCTCTCATTTCCAGTTAAATCTTAGGTAGGCACAGAAAGTAAAAAGACTTTACCCCAAAATGAAAAAAAAAAAACAAAAAAAAACAACACACATAAAGAAACCAAAAAAAATGTGCATGCAGAGACACATCCGGAACACATTCAGATTGTAGCTATGGGGTGAAGCAGCCCATAAACCCATTTCTTGCAAAAATGCAAGGGAATAGTAAGAAGTTGTACATGGGGCCAATCAACTGTCTCATTTCTCTGCCAACCAGCAGACCTACCCTGTGACTGGGAGTCACATTGATGTGCTTGCATTGCAGTTTTTGCATACATCATAATTTGTAAAAATTGAAGTCAGCCTGATTTAGAAGATCTGTGTCCTAACTATGTTACCAATTAGCCTAATGAACCTCCCTCTTGGTGGTTTCAAAGCCCACCGTATGCTTTAGCTATGTAAAAGTTAAAAAGTGATAGCACATATGCAAAATTCATAAAACCAGATTGTGTATTCTTAATGAATATTCATTACAATCTATAAATAAAAAAAAAAAAAAAAAATATATCACTAAAACAAAAGTGAAGACACATACCTGAGAATGTTTAGAAAGTGAGACATGGAAATATCCTTCGGAACCAGAAATTTAGTTTTGTCCAGTAGGGGCAAATATTTTTCTTTATTGTACCTCTCCACAACGACCTAGAATAGGTTATTATGCGGTTAATACTGGATGGGAAAAAAAAAAAAAAAAAGAAACCTAGACACCCCACAACTTTCATTTGCTTAACTAGAAAGCATTTCAAAAATAGATTGGTCAAGAAGAAATATTCTATACTATAGAACAGTTAGGAATACAAAAGTAATTACATCATAAATATAGCATGGACACAAAATAAAAGACATTTTACCGGGATTTTAGAAGGAAACTTGGCCCTTATTCCAATGACTTCTGATTTTCGGACTGCTGTTAAACAAAAAAAAAAAAGTTAAAAAAAGTTATGAAAAATGTAAACAGATACTATTTACTTCATATTTCACCATTTACCCATGGACTTTCTCTGTTTAAATGGTTTTCGTGAAGGACCATTTCGAGCGCACTGCATTTCTCAGCCTGCTATTAATGCTTAAGTATTGTTTCGTCTTTGTAATTTCTATTATTTTTAACTTGTCACACCCAAAGAGATCCACTCAATTTCCTACTGAGTCCTTTTATACCTGTGAAACCACCTGATTCACAATTTATGGGGGAGGGGAAGAGATTGATGCTAAAAAAAAAAAAGGATAAAATGTCACTTGTAAATATGTTAAATGTGGACAACATACATGTAAATAATATATATTTAATATATATTGCAATTATACCACTGATTTTATATAATATTTTTAAAAAAAAGGTAAGAGGTGGAGCTCTACAAAACAAAATCCCTGACAGGTAACACAAGTTCTTTAACCTCTTTGTGTCTGGTCAGTTAAAATATTTATGTTCAGATCAGTTTTTTCGAAAATGCAGAGATACAATTTCGATTTAAATATACTTTGAAATTTATGTGACAAAAAGAAGTATTTTTTTTTACCAGTTTTACGTGCTTTGTTAGTTGTGCATCTGAATATATAATTATGAAAGTATATTCAGCCATTCACTCTTTGTAGAAAGGCGCCTTACTGGAGTTTACTCTCAGGGTCCTTTCGCACGGGCGTTCCGTTTTTTTTCATCAGTTCAGTCACGTTTTTTCCAAGAATTGGTTGACTTCAGTTTTTCATCAGTTTACATCAGTTTTTCATCAGTTTACACCCGTTTTTCATCCGTTTACATCTGTTTTTTTTACATTCTTTACCAATGCAAAAACAGACCGTATGTCCGTTTACATCCACTTTTCTTCCGTTTTCATCCGTTTTTTGTCCATTCCAGGTTTTTTTTTACGGAAGAAAAATAGGGTTTTCTTCTGTTCAAAAAAGGATGTGGACATTACCAGATATAAACAGATGATCATCCGTTTACATCTGCTAGTCCACAGAAATACATGGGTGTCCAATTTTCATCTGTAAACAGACAGATGAAAAACGAACACACGGAATACCTGTGTGAAAGGGGCCTTAACCAGTTGTCCATGGCCACTGATCCAATGGGGATCCCACTTTTTTGGTTGCAGAGGATGGTGGAACATAATTTCCACCCCCTACAATGTGTTAGGAAGTATACTGCATTTATGTGCACCTCCATTCATGTGAGGTCGTATAGATGCATACAAATTTCCAACTCGCATTACAACTTGGACAATTTGAACAACCTTGCATGAAAGTGCTGACTTGTTAGCCCAACACTCCCCGAATAAAAAGTGCTCATCCAGGCTTCATTTACATGGGGTGTACATAAGAGTACACCTGCATGAGGGCCATCTTGAACAACATGGGGATGTACATGTGTTACATACATCCCAGGCAGGCAGTCCCATTGCTGTCAATTGGACTGCAGCAGATACATGAACACAACTACTGCTCCCAATGTGACATTCATGCAGGTGTGGGTCCTGGATGCGTTTGGGGCTGTACATTGAGAGAGCAGCGGCTGTGTCCTTGCAACCGCTGCATCCCAATTGACATCAATGGGACTGCCTGCACAGGGATGCACAAAACACCAGTGCATCCTCATGTTGGTAAGCATGGCCCTCCAGGAGTGTACAGTTATGCAACTTATTTGAAAAAAAATTTAACTAAAAAAAAATGCATGTAAAAACACTGAAAATGCATTACAAATGCATGTAAATGCACATGCAGAAATTCATAGCGAACATAGGGATTGTGGTATAAACCCCAAAAAAAACCCAAAAATGTACAAGAGTGCATTTTCTTGGAATGTGAGAGTGACATCACCCTCAACTGCATCAGAAAAGTGATGCTGGAAGCAGGGTCGGACTGACAACTCATGGGGCCCCCGGGCAATAGGGGATCATGGGGCCCCTGTGTCCTTGCCCAAACTAAAAAAACCCTATGAAAAAGTTACCAGGGGCATCTCATGGGGCCCCCTACTGACCCCGGGCCCTGGGGCAGTGCCCGAGTTTCCAAATGGTCAGTCCGCCCCTGGCTGGAAGTATTTAACTATTTTCTTATGAGTTACCAGTAGACAAGGTAGCAGTGTTGCAAGTAAGAATGAATTGATTTAAAATTGAACTCTGAACAAATAAAAAAACACAAATGAATGCAGTTCTGTCATCATTAAGGTCATTAAGTTTAATATTTTGATTCAATCATTGAAAGTGCCTGAATTTCACTTGGTATTATAGCAGGGCTGGAATGAGAGAGTAAGAAACAATACAAGGAGCAAAACAAGTCATGTACTGGCAAGAAGCATGCTGATAGGAGGAGAGAGCAGAGTGACAGAGAGATAAGCTGCTCACTGAGTTGCTTCTCTTTCACTGACCAGTCACAGGCTGGGGTGGGTTCATGATAACCTGGGCTCAGACCAAGCAGGTTGAATGGTGTTGTCCACCAGACGGAGGTCACCTAGTAGCAGAAAATGTGTAGTGCATAAAAAAACTCTGGATTAAAGGCAAACATTTTGGCAACGTTGGTTTTGTTATTTTAACTTTTAATTGACTATTCATTTTTACCTTGTCAATTTTGGTGGGAGTTCTGTTTTAAGCAAGCCAGAACTTCTACTGAATCCAGTCTGCTTTCCCCCAAGTTTTACTGATATAGCACCCTCCTAGAATAGGTTACATAGTTGCATAGTTACACAGTTAGTTTGGCTGAAAAAAGACAAAACTCCATCCAGTTTAACCATTTAAAAAAAAAAAGTTATACTCCTACACCCACAGTTGATCCAGAGGAAGGCAAAAAGCTCAGCATAGCATGATTCAATTTGCTCCTGCTGGGAAAAAAAATTAATTCCTGATCCCCCAAGAGGCAATCAGATATTCCCTGGATCAACTTTACTTATAAATAGTAACCAGTTATATTCTGTGTATCCAAGAAAGAATCCAGGACTTTTTTAAAGCAATCCACTGAGATGGCCAGAACCAACTCTTGAGGGAGTCTATTCCACATTTTCACAGCTCTTACTGTGAAGAAACCTTTCCGTGTTTGGAAATTAAATCTCTTTTCCTCCAGACGTAAAGAGTGCCCCCTTGTCCTCTGTGATGACCTCAGGGTGAATAACTCTACACCGAGTTCACTATATGAACCACTGATGTATTTATACATGTTGATCATATTCCCCCTAAATCTCCTCTTCTCAAGAGAGAATAAATTCAGTTCCTCTAATCTTTCCTCATAGCTGATCTCCTCCATGCCTGGTATCAGTTTGGTTGCCCTTCTCTGTACTTTCTCCAGTTCCCCAATGTTCTGTTTGTGAATTGGTGCCCAAAACTGAACTGCATATTCCAGATGAGGTCTTACTAATGATTTGTACAGGGGTAATATGATATCTCTCTCTCTGGAGTCTACACTTCATTTAATACAAGAGAGGATTTTGCTCACTTTAGAAACCGCATTGCATGCCATTATTAAGCTTGTGATCTACCAGAACTCCCAGATCCTTCTCCACCATTGATTCCCCCAGTTGTACCCCCCTAGTATGTATGATGCATGCATATTCTTAGCCCCCAAGTGTATAACCTTACATTTATCAACATTAAATGTCATTTGCCTCATAGTTGCCCAATTGAACATTGCATTGAGGTTGGCTTGTAAGTTGGCGACATCCTGTAAGGACGTTATTCCACTGCACAGCTTGGTGTCATCTGCAAAGACTGATTGCTAGGGAGGTTCAGGTAAATTTAGTTCTTTAGATCCTCTGTAATCATTGGAGTGGTGTGTGATTATATTTGGCTGTTCTGGGTTTCACTGACTGCGTTCCCTACCTTCTAGAAGATTCTAGAATGTAGTGGGCTGGAAGAGGCAGAGTCTTGGCCTGAATATTTATGTGGTATCAGCCAATCCCTGGGGAGCAGATGCCCAATAGGTGATTGAGGAGTGAATAAATAGTTTTGGGCTTGGAGCAGCAGGGTTCTTCTCCAGGAGGAGAAGATCCCAGCCTGAAGAGTTTCTGCCCTACTGGGCAGTGTAGCTGAAGTTGCAGATCATTGAGGTTCCAGCTCTGTGGGAGCTGGAGGGCCTATTTGCTGGAAATAGATGGAGCTAAATCCAAAGGACTCATCCAATGGATCTGGCTGATATTGGATGGAAGCTTCAAAGTATACCAGGGCATTGTGAGTAGAGGCCTGGTTGTGGGATCCTAGTGACTGTAGTTCCTGCTCCAGTACTGCTGAATTTCAACTTTCCCTTTCCTAGGAATTGTAGGGTTGCTGCTCTCCTGTTGACTGCCAAAAGGAGAGATATGAGATTAGACAGGACAAAGTGTGTCCTCTGGCTACTTTACTTACCCTGCACCAATACAATGCATGTTCAACAAGCATTAAAGCACAAAAGACACACCTTGCCTGGTCATTGAGTTGTGAGACTGACCGCATACCTGGCTGCTGTACACCCATTTGGGAAGAGAACCTAGGGCAAACCAGCGGGGCCCCTCAGGGGTTAACGCTACACTGTTAATAGGTGATCTGAGATTCTGTAATTCACATTAATTTCAAAATTTTGAATGCAATTTTTGTCATGTTGGTGGTTATCTACTTTGCTCTGCCTCCTTCTATCTGAAAACAGGAAAGAGTGTCCCCACCTCCTGCAGCAGCCAATCAGCAGAGGTGAAGTACATGACACGTCTCCATATAAAACCACACCCACAGGCCACAATTTAAAGTGTGATTTAAAGGAGATGGTGGAAGAACCTGCAAGTCAAAAGCACATACATTTATTGACTACTAGTGTTTAACCCCTTCACGCCTAAGGGTAAAACAAATCTAAATGTCTATGCACAATTCTGCAACGTTGACATGTGTTAGTAAAACCGTACATATCATCACAACTACTTTGTACATCCAGGTGGATTATACCGTGTTTTTTTCAGGACAAATTGGGCTTTCATTTGGTGGTAAATGGTAATGGATAGCTCCTAATTTTTTTATTATCAAAGGAAAACTGGCCCAAAATAGTA